CACACATGGTATGACTTGAGAGAATGACTTGAAATCAGCTTGAATTTCCTTCTTGACCTTATTCCGCAGTGCTCGTTCGTACTGTTCGACGAACTGTATCAACGATGTATTCGCATGTACATAACCGTCGAAAAAAGCATTCATACTTTCACTTCTTTGTGTCGTTGACATACCGGCCCAGAAAGTTGATTTCAAGAAACAGGGTACCCAACGAATACTATTTTCAAACAATCTCGACAACTAAACGTTATCATGCAAATGATACCTTTCAACTATATCTCTCCAACCTTCCTCAAACTCTTCCACTGACTGTGAATCATAAACCAGTACGTGGACAACTGAAAATATCATAGCTTTGTCCACATGATATCCAAAATTTTCTGGCAACTTCTTCAGAATATGCCACAAACACCACATGTGCTTCGTATTAGGAAAAACTATATGAATCGCGTTTTGCATAGCTCTATCTTGATCGGTAATTATTTCATGCGGAGCTTGACCATGTTAATTTTCTAAAAAACCATGTATATCTAAAGATGCAAATATTCTTGCTTTGCACCACGTATTAATTGTTGGTTGCAGCTTCATGATGTTGCTTATATTACCATTTTTCTGTCCCTTACGACTACATGTGAACGTGACATATCTCAAAACACCATCATCATCCCTCGCCGAACTCCTCTTACTAATTGGAAAACCTATGGCATACGCGTATCTCACATAAAAATCATTCACTTCTTTTTCATTCTGAAACTGCATACCAACCTTAGGCACGGCCAAATCATCTTCTCATGCCGTTTTATCTTCCACAACATTCGCATTGTTATCAACATTATCGTTTTCAGAATCCACAAACAAAACATCTTCCATGTTTTCTTCTCCTGCGAAACATAAACACTCACACATTATTTATGAACAAAAAATGAACTGATGATAAAACAAAAAAAAATGGCTTGTTTCATAATATAAACTGCATGAGATTAAAGATTAATAGAGAATAATTATGTTTAATGCATGTTTTTGGGCACTCCTGTTCCAAGTAGGTACTTGATTTAAATGCTTTCATGCTTCACACTTGCCACTGCTCCTGCATTATGTGACTAGTTGTTGACTTCTAATTAATTTTTGCCATCTCTAGCTGACTAGACAAAGGGGATGATGGCCCCATGACTCATGATGTTATATTTTTGGTTTAAAATACTGGATCTTTTGTTCCTTTCTTTTCTGATTCTTCTTAAATCTACATTCCTTCTTTTGGCCTTTATTATTGTGATGAAAGATTTTTCACAGCTGTTGAAGTTACTGCCGGAAACAGGTAGAAAAAAACTCATGGAAATGTGAGTTCAATTCAAGTTTACGGGATTAAATTTCATTGTTAAAGGGGCAACACCGGAAGTCAAAACCCAAACAGGACAGCTCCAATTTTCATCTTCCACTGGAAGTTCTTGTACTTTCATAGTGTTGAGAAAGTACCTGAGATCGAAAATGTAGAGTTTCCATCTTTCATTGTTCTTGCGCCAGTGAATGAGGAAAAAAATGAGAAAAGAGATCACTCAACAATGTCAAAATTATAATGTCAGTATCGTGCTTGAAGAGATTCTAATCGCCTGAAAGTTCTATTCTTCGGAAAGTTGTCGGTCGGAGCTGGAGAAGGTATAGCGCGATTGATTTCCCAATTTTATTTCCCGCCCTCAGTTTCCCTCTCCTTCCGACTAGAAGAGAATGGTTAGTCAAGACATGGGTGACAAGAAAGAGAATGGGTCTTGCAAGAAATGTGTCAAACAAAATTTTTAATCTCAGCCATCCATTGCTGTTCAATCTCAGCCTTACACCTCACTTTGTCATCAACTTTTGTCATCCAACTTGGGAGAAGTAGCATTATTCTTCTATTAAATACTCTAAAAAAAATTAAGTTTTAAATTTGTCAACTCAAATATACACTCTCTTCTGAGTTTATCAATACCTAATAAATTGACATTTGCTAGTTTGGCATCATATTTGTCGATATTGATTCCAAGAAAATAAATTATATTTCTATAGAAACCTCAATAAGAAGTCCTAAATGAAATTGAGACTTGAAGTCCATTTGACACATTTCAAAATTAAGAAATAAGGTTTAATATTTCAAAAATCGGACGTGAATTAAAATTGATTGATGAAATAATTAATTAAAAATATATTTTATTAATTAAATAAATTAATGCCACAATTCTATATAATTTAGTTGCGGATTATTGAATTACTTGATCATAAATTATTTTTCGATCACAAATTACAAATTTTATATGTCAAATTATTTCAAGTCAGAAATAAAAAAAAAAAAATTTATAGGTCACAATTTATTCATCAATCACAAATTAAAAAAAAAATTAGGTCAAAATNTCACAAAAAAAAAAAAATTAGGTCAAAATTTATTTATCGGTCACAAATCACTAATTTTACAAGTCACAACTTATTTCGCGGTCATAAATTATCAAATTATTGGTTACAAATTAATAAATTTTTATATCACGCATTATTTATTGGTAACAATTTATTTATTTCATTGATCACATATTGTTTATTCACATCACATTAATTAATTTATTGGTCACAATCAACCAAATAATTTGTGACCACCACCTCAACACTGCGCAGCGTCATTGTCTCACCCGAACTATCACCACCTCCCCGCAATCAGTAACAACACCGACATCTACATCTCAAACAAAGAAACACCCACCACCACCACGACAATAGAGCCTCCAATCCACAACCTCCACAACCATCAACACCACCGCCAACACAAGCACCACCACATTCATCATAGATCCACAACAAATCGTCGACTGCAGCGTCAAACCATCATCTTCCCACAATCGCCAGTCGATTTCTTCACGTCGCTGCCTCCAAAACATATCGTCCAAATTTCCCTTCACTTTGCAGCCTCCAATCAAGCCCATATTAACAATGCAAATTTTGGATAAATGGATAGATTTGTGTGCAGTCAAGAGGAAGGCGACATTGGAGATTCCAGAGAGGAAGATGACATTGTCGTAGAGTAGCTCCTCAGCCAGCTACACTTGCATTCCTCAGCCATTTGTGTGGATGGTGATAGATACAGGGAGTAACGTTGGGGAGAGAGAGTAGATAGAGAATGTGTGGTAATTAATTTAATTAGTAATATTAAATAAATAACTATAACTTGGTTTATGAAATGTTAAAATTAAAATTTGACTAATAAAATGTAAACGTTAAAAAAAGCTTAGTGCTTAGATGTAATTTCCTCTTTAAAATTCATGTATGGACGTCCTCTAGTGTAAATATATTGGGCTTCCTCCTCAAGTAAGAGGAAATTGATACAAATAGCACTAAACCCCTGCTTCGTATGAATTAAAATTAAATTTGTAATATATTTTGATAAAATTTAATAAAATATATTGTTAAGAAGTTATAAATCCTATAAAATAGGTAACTAAAATTAATTATTAATTTTACTCAATCAGGGGCTAAATGAGGTGTAAAGCACAACAATTGTAGGACCTTTCTATATAATTTATGAAACTTTTGCATATTTCATCCTCAACTTTTGCAATATGTTATTGATCTATCCTTAACCTTCTTTTTAGCATCAGGCATCTCCAATTTTTAACTTTATCACAAAACACATCCTCCTGTCCATTTTTACCTTTAAATCCAATAAAATGATGAATTTGTCATCCTCTTTATATATAAAAAAGAAGAGAACAATTAAATTATAAATAAAAGGAAAATTGCAGTAATAATCCCAAATCTTTTCAAAAAATACAAATAAATCATCTTCTTCCCGAAGATTCCCAACTTGAACCACCACCTCCCCACTCCACAACTGAACAGCTAGTCATCGCGGCCACCACTACCCCACCCCTACAACCCATCAATCCAATCATTACTATTTAACAACTAAAAAAAGAGAAAGAAGGGGAAGAAAAAAATATATAAGAACAAAAAAAGGGAAATTTCCTTTCTTATTCGGGACCCAAAATGACCTCTTTTTCAAATGGACCAAACCTTCAATCCACATTACATTCATCAAAGAGATATGACCATTTTTGGGTTGCATAATTTTATATTATTCTATTCGTGCTTGAAAAATGACACATCGATGACACTACCGCCACCACCAAATTTCCCACCTACGACCGAAATTGTTTTTTGAACTTACTCCTTCATGGATTGTTTAAAAAGCACAAAAAGGGCAAATTATTATGTTGTTAAAGAAAGGAACCCGCTGCTTCGTCTTGTCCAACCAAACCCGAAGTCTGACGAGCTTCATCCTGTCAACTGAATAAGTCTACAAATCTGAAAAAAATTGGACCGATCATTTTGAACAACTAAAAAGAAGAAATTATCCAATTTTTTTTAATATTTTTCGCATGTAATAGTAAGTATCTGCCGAGACATACCAAATATTCTCACTCATTGTGGAGCTTGGAGTAGTGGTGGATGGTGAAGAATTAGAATCCCACGTTATTTGGGAAAAAATAAATGATTTACTTAATAAGGTGAGGACAATCTTCCCCTAATAAATTAGTTTTATTAGGTGGAGTTAGGCCCAATATTCCTAACATGAAGGTGGGTTTGGCCTGTAACATCGAACTTTGTGGTTGGGAATTAGGTAGAATTCGCCAAAGATACGTTTTTTTGGGCGTAGAGGTGGGAATTTTAGCTGGGATGGAGGTGGGATTTGGGGATCTTGCTGCCTTTAGGGTCTTCTTTTGCCTTCCTAAACTCATTGAAGTGGAAAATTTCCTTCGAGATGTGAGCAAAATTCAATGCTTCACATTTTTAAGAATTAATTGAAAAACATTCTTTATTTTGCATAAAAAAGTAAAGATATCAAATTCACTATGCAAACTTGGTTCTTTGATTGTTATATCCGTGGAAGAATCCAAATGAACAGAAAAAAAATAATCCTTCGAGTTAACAAACAAACCGGCACTTTGTGCTACTTTCCCCAAACCCATTAGGCCAAACCACTACTAGATCCACCCAGATCCACACCAAATTGCCACCACAAACCCGCCTAAAACAGCCCCTATAACCTTCAGTCCACCACCGTACACGGTGGAGGAGGCCGACGCCTTGGATGAATGCCCGGCAGCCAAAGACGAGCGCGGCGGAGACGGCAGAGGGTGAACAAGAACAGAAACCTTCATCCCATTAAAGCAGCCACCAGTCCCACAAATAAAGTAGTACCTCTGAGCCTTATTGAGAGGAATGAAGTCCTTTCCACTTGTCCAATTCCCCACTGCACCTTCTGTTGTACAATTATCATACCCTGTTTGGTTCACTTCAAAGACGTTGTACTGTGTCTTCAGGTACCTAAATGCTAAGCACAAAAAACCCACAATGAAACAAAAACGTAAAAGTTTATGGTTACAAAAAAACCCACAAAACCGCTACTAATAAGAATATAATTCCTTAGAGACCTTCCCCTTCTTTAGGTTTAGGGGCCATATACTACCTGAGTAAGAAAATGACTGACTACAAATTTAAGAATTAGTACTGTGTCTTCCAGTGCCTAAATGCAAGAACAAAAAAATCCACAAAATGTAACAAAATCGTAAAAGGACTTAAGGTTACCAACAAAAAAATCACACAAAATATAACAAAAATGTAGAGAAGTTCAAGGTACTGCGTCTTCTGGTACCCAAATGCTAGGCACAAAAAATCACAAAAGAGAAAAACACACAAAATGTAAAAAAGTTCAAGATTTGTCCATACATATGAGGTCACCAACATAGAAGGTGTGGTTGTTGGCCCATAGAGTGTAATTGATGCCGGGGTTCCAACCCTTGTTTGCGCCGACAATGTGGTCGGTGGCGGAGACTGTTGTGGCAGCGTGGAGGAGGAGGAAGAGAACAGCGGAGGCGAAGGTGGCAGTGAGGCGGAAGATAGAGGGTGGCAGTGAGGTGGACATGATTGATTTGTGGTAGGTTTTTGGGGTTTGTTGGAGATAACTTTTTGACTGTGCTTGACTGGCTAATGAACGTTAAGGGATACGAATGGATTACAGTTAATATAACGGATCCAAAGGACGATCTTCAAGTATCCAATAACAAATGGAAAATGACAAAAAATACATATATAAGTATGTTTGGCTAAGTTTAAAAGAATATTTTTAATTAACTTTTATTTTTTAACCTTTTAAATATAATTATGCTACAAAAATAGGTTCAAAAATAGGGAGGATACGTGTCGATACATGATTGAACAGTTTGAAAAAAAAACCCTCAAACACGCACTACCAAGTCAATATGTCTATTTTTTATCAACCATGCTACAAGTACAATTTTTTTGACATCAAGTTTGACAATGTGCCACATGTTGAAGGTTGAGTGGCCAGTTTTTAAACACCACACACTTTCCCGCCCATTTGAATTTGAATTAACATGGATTGTCAAATTACTTGTCAACCATAGATTGTACACAAATCATTATTCATTTTTTATCTATCATTGTATAGTTGTTAAAATGTTAAATCAAATACTCCAAAGAATAGTTTAATATCCAAATGAGATTGCTCAAAATGCGTTTAATTAAATCATCCATAAGCGTAAGCATAATAATTCGAATAAATTTAGATAATGACACTTTTATCCCTCTATTATTTTTAGGGACATTCTTTGAATTGGTAATTGAATATTGCAAGTGGATTACAAGGGGACATGAGAATGTCTCCTCATGCTTACCAAAGCCACGCCTATATCACATGTATGGGGTCCCTTTATTAATATTTGGCCACTTTTGAATCCTCTTTAATGTGAATTGCTCTTTCCAACCATCAAAATTTCAAAATGCAAGCCATTTTATCTCCTAGATTTTAGTTTATTAATATTGTGGTTTATGTCTTGTCAAAGTTATCCATTTCTTTTCCATCTTTTAATGAACAGAAAAATTAGAAACTTTTCCTCAAACTAGTGTTTTTTTTTCCTCTGCAATGCACGAAATATAATATTTTTAAGGTGATGTTAACATATTGAATATCAATTGATTCGACAAATTTTCGTATAGAGTGTGTTTGATTGACTTTATTTTTCATGAAAATTGTCATTTTTTAAATCTAAATTCTTACAGTTGGGTGGTTGATTGACAATTCTTTTTCATGAAAAATATTTTTCAACTTTTGGTCATGTGACCATATTTTCTTCGAAAACAGGGAAAATATTTTCTTTTAAAATAGGTGGTTTTTATTTTTAATATAATTCACTATCTCTTTCTCTTTTATGTATTCACACTATCTCATAAACACCACACACTTTCCTGCCCATTTGAATTTGAATTAACATAAACTGTCAAATTCCTTGTCAACCATAGATTGTACACAAATCATTATTCATCTTTTATCTATCATTGTATCGTCGTTAAAATGTTAAATCAAAGACTCCAAAGAATAGTTTAATATCCAAATGAGATTGCTCAAAATGCGTTTAATTAAATCATCCATAAGCATAAGCATAATAATTCGAATAAATTTAGATAATGACACTTTTATCCCTCTATTATTTTTAGGGACATTCTTTGAATTGGTAATTGAATATTGCAAGTGGATTACAAAGGGACATGAGAACGTCTCCTCATGCTTACCAAAGCCACGCCTATATCACATGTATGGGGTCCCTTCATTAATATTTGGCCACTTTTGAATCCTCTTTAATGTGAATTGCTCTTTCCAACCATCAAAATTTCAAAATGCAAGCCATTTTATCTCCTAGATTTTAGTTTATTAATATTGTGGTTTGTGTCTTGTCAAAGTTATCCATTTCTTTTCCATCTTTTAATGAACAGAAAAATTAGAAACTTTTCCTCAAACTAGTGTTTTTTTCCTCTGCAATGCACGAAATGTAATATTTTAAAGGTGATGTTAACATATTGAATATCAATTGATTCGACAAATTTTCATATAGAGTGTGTTTGATTGACTTTATTTTTCATGAAAATTGTCATTTTTTAAATCCAAATTCTTACAGTTGGGTGGTTGATTGACAATTCTTTTTCATGAAAAATATTTTCCAACTTTTGGTCATTTGCCCATAATTCCTCAAAAATAAGGAAAATATTTTATTTTTCAACTTTTGGTCATGTGACCATATTTTCTTCGAAAACAGGGAAAATATTTTCTTTTAAAATAGGTGGTTTTTATTTTTAATATAATTCACTATCTCTTTCTCTTTTATGTATTCACACTATCTCATTTACCCACCAATAAAAAATAGAAATATATAATATTTTTTAAATTGAAAATTAAATCAATCAAACACATTTAATTAATAATTTCAGTACAAATAAGTTCTAGACCATTAAATTGCCTAGAATTTATTTTATTTCTATACAAATTTCATACTTCCAATCAAACGCACTCCTAAATCTTATAGAAATTGACATAATAATTAGTAAAATTGAATAAATATAATATTCTAGTAAGATTCAACGGAAGAAAATTTTGCTTCGACAATTTTTTTCATACACTTGCAAATGCTTGTTTGCAACATAGATAGAGCAAAATAAAAGAAATATTATGTCAAATTTTTATGAGCTCTGGTGCAATATACTTAAGGTCATCTTGCCAAATCAAATTAAAAATGTGACGAACACAATGCATGTGAAAGAGTTTTGCATCAAAATTTGTATTGAGCTTGTCGGGTGTTTTGATACCCAATAAATCCGGGCAATGATTTAAAATAGTTGTCGGATTATTTAGCGACACCATAGACTTGACTCGACTCGAAAACGACCTATACTTTTGGATGGCCCAAGTTTGGGTTGAATGGTAATAGGTATTAGCCCATTTAGTTGGTTAGTTGTGGGAATTAATTGGTAGCCCATTAGTGATATCTTTGGCCCATTTTGGAGAGGAGTGTTTGGCCCAATTAAATAACCTATTTTTGTGTCCCATATATGTTGGTGTTCCAGCCGTGAGTTAGTGTGTGTTGTGTGTGCAAGAGTGGAGAGAAGAGAGGTAAGGCAGC